AAGTCGACCTTCGGAGGAAGGAAACCACACTAATTTCGGGCTCTTAAATGAGTTCATTATGAGCGTAAAGGCTCCGAAATGGGACTCCTTAAAGACTCATTTATGACTCCAAATGTATATTTCATTGATATGTACATATCTCTCGCTCATAGAGAAAGCACTTATTGAATTTTGTTTTTCGTTTTGCGCATGCATTTTCTTTTTACTTTATTTATTTTTATTTCAATAATTCACACAAATTAAAAAATCGTTTTTCTCGATAAGTCAATGCTGAAACCACACCCTTTATTTTCCTTTAAATAAATTTCTTTTAATTCCGCAAATTAGAAATTCGCTAGAAATGTAAATACACAATTAATTCCAAATGTCAATTCTTGACTCAAGGGATGCTTCGAACTATATCCGCTTAATTCACAGAACATCCCACCAAACAATTTGTGTTGCCGGCAATAAGAAAACGTGTCGCCCTCGGAAACAAATTTATTGCCGGTAACATTGCCATCGAATCGATTTCCTATTACCGGTCGCTCTAAAACGTCCGCCGAAGGCAACACGCCTGGGCGAGTCGTTTTCTTATTACCTGAATGAGTCCTTTTCTTATCGCTTCAGGCGATATTTGGAATAATTTTATTCTTTTTAATACTTCATTTATTTTTTTTGTATACCAAATCGCAACTTACAATCGGAAATAATTAATTTTCTCGCTGTAAGGCTTCCTATTTCTTCAATCTTGTCCTTGGGCATAATTTAGATGCTTTTGGCCAATACTATTGACGCCATATTCATAAGATTCGGAATTTTTGAGAACTTTTTTATTCAAAATTGACATGAACGGAGTGATGTTGCCGATTTGTCACCACAGCAATAAATCGGTGAGTCGCCAATTTGTTGCCATTGACGATTGTTGCCTATTTCTCATATTTTGCATGGTGGGATGCTTTTCATGTGAGCGTTTTCAAAATATCGAATTAACTTGTATGTACAAAATCCCATAGTGATACACGAAACACAAAGAAATCTATATATTAATACGCTAACATAAATTTTGTCTCCGTTCGTTTGGCGATTCTACCGAACCGAACCAAGAACACCGTTGGAAAGGCATTTTTCCGTAGATGAGCAGAGTTTTTGTGATTTCATAATTGGTTGAAAATTACGGCCAAAACCGTCGTTTAAACATTTTCAAATTGTGTATTTATGTTGCTGCAACATGTTCAATTTGACATGTTTCGCCTGTTGTTTCACTCAGGGAATGAAACCGAAACCCAAACCGAAACCGTAACCGTTTAAAACCGTTTCGTTTTTCAAAACCGAAACCGAAACCGTAACCGTTATCTTGACCTGAAAAGGAACGATACCGAAACCATTTCAATCACAGGTTTCAATCGGTTTCCAGAAATTTACAAAAATAATAAATAAAATTTCTTTGAAATAAATGATTTATTTAACCAAAATCAGCAACATTTTGCTAAAATTCTTGTTAAGTAGTAAATAAGTATGGCAAGGTAACTTTTCGCAAAAATCTGCTGATGACTTTGTTGTTGTGAATCGATAATCGATTAATTATATATAAGTAGTTTCTTTCCCGTACGCAATGCGAGATCCCGCGTGTGCCCAAAATAGCCCAGAAATCATGCCTGTACTCAACAAAATGGGTAATAGAGAGCGAAAATTCGAGCGTATTCGATCGTAAGTGTATTCTTCTTCCTGCCCGAAACAGCCCGAAATTTTCTCCGAGTAAAAATGGATAAAGTGTCAAAGTGCATATCAGCTGTATTGTGTTTACATGTTGCCTGCATTTACTTGGTGCTTTTAAGGAAAAGTGAATGGCCTGTTGATGTGTTTTCAATCTATGTACTTAAAATCAAATTTGTGAAACCAAAATTCAATTTCCAAGTGTTTGCATTTAATACCATGTTCTGACCGACAACCAAAACATTTTTCCTTCATTTTCTTTTCATTTACAACCTTTAACTTTCATTCTTATTTTGCTTTGGCCAGGCAATTAACAATAAATCCGAAATGGCGTATTAAAGATGATAAAATATGACTTCCACTTCGATAAATAATCGAAAAAAACTAGTGAAGACACCGATTGGAATGAGTGGAAAGTGAGTTTTCAAGTAGTTTTCAGCGAAAACTGGTTTTCGTTTAACAGATTTTATATGGACGAAAACACAAGTTTTAGGTCGAAAACCAGTTTTAGCAACGAAAACATGTTTCCGATGTCGGTCACAACATGGTATAAGTGACAAAAACAAGAACAACGTGAATCAGCTGTTTCTCGACTTGTGGGCACGAAATGTGGGTTTTTGCGTTTCCGTACTTCTGAACTTTGCTCCATTTTTGAAAGAAAATGTTTCTCTTATTCTCTAATTACCAAATCCGGTCCGGATTGTTAGGGAAAGAACCTAGGGTTGATATTAACAGTGAACTGTAATTTTAGATTTTCTTTCCTCAACGTTTAAGACATTGTGATTTAAACAATATCAACAAAATTTCTGTGAAAAACCGAAACCGGAACGAAACCGAAATAAATTTTGAAGAACGAAACCAAAACCGAAACCGAAACAGTTGGCAAAACCGAAACCCAAACCGGAACGTTATTTTGAATCGGTTTCATTCCTTGGTTTCACTACACATTTGAAATTAAGCTTTGAAATAAACATAAATATGAAGATGAAGAAATAAATGATAACGATGAAGTCAAAAAAAAGAAGGCAGAAGTGAAGATAAAGGCGAAAATGGAGACAATGACAGATACATAAGAATTAGGGTAACTGAAAGGGTAAGAACATTTCTTGAATTTATGAAGTGAAACTTCTTTAGCGGCAGTTGGTTGGCTGGGAGTAAATTGTCAAATTAAAGGTGAATAATGCACATGGAAATGGTTCTCAGCGGTTTAGCGGTTTGAGAATAAAAACAAAAACAAAGATGCCTAGAGGTACAGGCAAAAACGAAGATCAAAGTAAATTTAAACACTTTAAGGTAAAGGTGAAGAGGAATATGCAAAAATAAAGATAAATATGAAGAAAAGGGTGAGGATGAAGATCGATATTGTTATCGATATAAAACTCGATATTCTTATCGATATAATAATCGATATTGCTATTGACAAAATAATCGATATTTTTATCGATGTGAAAGATAAAAACAAAGATGAAGACCAAAGTAAAGTTAGCGATTTCAAAACCAAAAACACCGTTGGAAAGGTAATTTTCTGTAGATGAGGAGAGTTTTTATAGTTTGGAATTTGTTTGAAAATCGTCGTTTAAAAATTTCCATATTTGTGTATGGTTGTTTTTGCAACCTGTTTAATTTAAGCTGTTTCGCATTTTGTTTTACTTCGTATTTGAAATTAAACTTTGAAATAAAGATAAATATTAAGATGAAGAAACAAGTGATAACGATGAAGACAAAAAAAGGCAAAAGTGAAGATAAAGACGAAAATTGAGATAAAGGCGAAAATGGAGGTAATGAGAAATACATAAGAATTAGGTTAACAGAGTTGAAATTTTCCGATAGGAATCGAAATAAAATCAGCCATAAAGGTTACTGAAATTTATCGAATCATCGAAGTTTATAATTATCGAAATTTATCCATGCTTATTAAGTTATCGCAACGTATCGAATTATTCAAACTGATCAATGTTTACTAAGTTGTCGAAATTTATAGACACAGAAACTTAGTTGCCCAAATTTACGGATAGTTATCGAGCTATAAAAACGTGTGGGATTAACAAAATTTGTCAAGTTAAAGAAATGTATCAAGTTATCGATATTTATTGAATTATCATTATTTATAGACTTAACGAAATATATCGAGGTGTCGTAATGCATGGAGTTCTTTCAACTTACAGAGTTATCGATAATTATTGATCTACTGAAATTGGTTGGTTCAACGAAGCGAAGTTTATGGAACTTTCAAAATATATCGATTTATCGAAATTTCAAGGTTATATAAGCTTATCGATTTATCACTGCTTATCGAATTTAATCGTCTTAGCAGATTGTAACGAGTTATCAAAATGTTTAGATAGTTTTCGAAAAATGTGGAGATGTCAAAAGTAAAAATTTATAAAGGTATCCAAAGTTTTTACATTTCTGAGTTACCGAAATTTATCGAGCCATCGAATTTACACTAAACCAAAATCCATCTCTGGATCAAAGAAACACTATCCTTACTTTAAGGTCGAAAATTCTTCCGAATGATTAAAAAATTCTCCTGAATGCGTAATTTTTTGGAATGTGTAAAAATGTACACGAAAATATGGAACCGTGGATGTAATCTATCATTTTGAAGAAATGTTGGGCATGAAAAGAGGATAAAACTTCTTTAGTGCTGTTCCGTTCCCATTTTTCTTCATTTTGCTGTTCTTCTTCAATTAAGAGAAGTTTTTTTGGGTTTACGTCCTCTTTTAATCCATTTTGATCCCTTTGAGTCCATTTCATTAGTTTAAAGTTCAGTTTTAGGTTTATAGTATCATTATTAAGTAGTTTTAGAGAAAACTCTATATTTTCAAATTCATTTTGACTCGAATCAATAAAAAGCCTCATTGTTAACCGTCGTTCTCAGTTAATAAAAACGCTTGCGAATTTAACCTTAATCGGGCTGGATTGGCGCAAAGGCTGGTTTATTTCTAAGTGGAAATTAACAATTTACAAATTTTAATGCGAAACAAAATGATGTTACTACTTACCGCAGTGTGTCCTTCTTCTTTGCTTGACGACGGCTAACAGCTTCAATTATGCGCGCTCAGAACTACATAAACCTATCGTTCTCGATGCGCAAACGGTTAATTGCAAAAGCTCATGCGAATGTGCATATAAAGGCAAAGAAGAATGACGCAGTGCGGTAATTTTACACGAACAAATAGTACGGATACAAAGAAGAAATATAATAACTGCATCCATGTATGTACTTTGGCTTCATGTTCGTACATATGTATGTACATAGGGATGCGCAGACATATGTACATATGTATGTTTAAGCGTCGATATTATACCGTAGAAAGGGCGTGCTGCGACATCCCCGCCCCCGTGAATCGGTCCGATTCACCGTCTTCCACGTCCAAGATAGCAAGCTTGGAAACAGCACGCCGTTTAATTCCGGCGGCGGTTCGGACATCTACATGCCTGATTTCGCCATCGCGTCCAGGATACAGTTGCTCCACTTTGCCACGACACCATTCCCTCCGCGGCACGTTAGGGTCGCAAATAAAAACTATATCGCCCTCCTTTACCGGCGTAGTTTTCTCACACCACTTAACTCGCCGCGTCAATGTGGGCAGATACTCGGATATCCACCGCTTCCAGAAGTGATCCCTTAATTGGCGCGCGACGCGCCACTGTTGGCGCAAGACGAACGTGCCCTCTAGGACTTCTGTGGTGATCGGCGTCGGTGCTATGTTAGGAGCTCCCAGCAGAAAGTCGTTCGGAGTCAACGGCTGCTCCTGGTTAACGGAGATAGGCAGATGCGTTAGTGGGCGCGAATTTATGACGTTTTCCGCCTCGATGAGGAAGCAATTGAGGGTGTGTTCTCGGGGCGCTACTTCTTTAAGCGTGTGACGCAGTACTCGCTTGACCGACTGCACCATCCTTTCCCAGGCACCACCTTCGGCAGGATTGAAGGGCGCGTTGAACACCCAGTCGACGCCTCTTTGCGTTAGTTCATCCTGCACGCGCTGACAATCAAAAACTTCATTGAAGCGCGTAGCTTCATTGTTTGCCCCGACAAAGTTCTTGCCGTTGTCGGACCTTATTCGAACTGGTACTCCGCGCCGATTGATAAAATTGCGGATTGCAATTATACACGAATCTGTGCTCAGATCGTGGGCTAGTTCCAGGTGGACGGCACGCACAGTGAGGCAGGTGAAGAGCGCCACCCATCTCTTTTCAGTGCTTCGGCGAACTGTTACTGTGAGCGGCCCGAAGTAGTCCAGGCCCGTGTAACTGAATGGCCTCACGTACGCGGTAAGCCTATCGACTGGCAGAGGCCCCATTAGTGGCGCGACTGGGGCAGCTTTATTGAGGCGGCACACTTGACAGCTGGAAATAACGCTTCGTAACAGGCTACGTAGTCGAGGTACCCAGTATGTTTGACGTACGGCGCAAATTGTAGCCTCGGTGTTCTGGTGGCGCATCAGCTTGTGGTGGTGAGCTACGACCAGCTTGGTTAAAGCGTGCTTAGGCGGCAAAATGATAGGGCGTCTTGTACTCATTGGAAGCCAGCTGGCTGAATCAATGCGTCCATGAACGCGAAGAGTACCTTCCTCATCGATATACGGCGAGAGTTGGCGTAGTGAGCTGTAGCGTGCGACATCTCGCCCTTCTTTAAGTTGCTGAATCTCTGGACCAAAATGCTCATTTTGTACTAGACGGCATAAAAGTAATTTCGCTGCTTCGACGTCAACTGCTGTCAGCCCATAGCGACGCTCGGCTGAGTTGCGATGGCGGCAAAGACCGATAAAGTGGAGAACCCAAGCTGTCGTCCGCACCAGTCTGTTGAATGTGGAAAAGCGTGTGAAATCTATGAAATTATTACTTACGATGACCATGGCGTATTTAGGTCGGAGCTCCTCGTCGTGTACGTCATGATGAGTGGCGAAGATTGCATCATTAGGCCAGTACCCTTCTTCTCGGCATAGAAAAGTCGGTCCCTGACTCCAGCGGCCAGTTGGGGTGAAGTCAGCTTCACTGCTGAAACGCGTGGCTTCGTCGGCTACGTTCTCTGCAGTAGGTATCCACCTCCAGTTCGAGGCGTTTGTGGCGGCCAATATTTCAGCCACGCGGTGCTGCACAAACGGCTTGTACCGTCGGTGCTCACTGCGGATCCACTTCATCACCGTTGTCGAGTCGGTCCAAAGATGGCAGTCATTTATGACGACGGAGTGTTCTTCACGAATCGTCTGCATTAGGCGGGCCCCCAAGACGGCTGCTTGCAGTTCTAGCCGCGGTACCGTGAGCGGTTTCAGAGGAGCGCACTTAGTTTTCGCGCAGACGAAGCTGGCACTCACCTCGTTCTGGCAGTTGGTCGCTCTCCAGTAAGCGACGGCGGCAAAGGCGTCTTCGCTGGCGTCAACAAAGATGTGTAGCTGTAAATTTTGTAGCTTACCATTGCCGAAGTAGAATCTGGGAACGGCGTACT